GCTGTGTGACGCAGCTTTTCTCAGCTTGTTTAACTCCGACACTGAAGACGAGGACTTCGATGGTTTCAGTGAGCTGGAGGACGATGAATGAGACGTTTTGTTGGACCAGAAACTTTTAAAGAAAACTACCAAAATAAGGTCAGTTAAATGAACCGTATTCCTCCGAACTTTAATTCTTAAAGGTTTGCTTTTTATGTTTTGACGTTGAATTCACTTTTTTGACGGCAAATTTGGGTGTACCGGTTTTTTTATGTTGGAGGTGCGGCTTATAATCCGGTGAGGCTTATATGTTCATGTTCGCGGACTTTTTTTTTAAATGGCGGGTGCGGCTTATAGTCCGGTGCGGCTTATAGTCCGAAAAATATGGTAAATTTGTCTGACAAAGCAGCAGTTCTCATTTACAGTTTTCTCATTTGGGTACTTTTCTCCTCTCAGTAGGGTTGTTTACAGCGCACACTATTTCCGGTTAGCTTCTTAGCTTAGCTTCCTTCACAGCGACATACAGCGCGGCCAAATGATCCAATCATTTTAAACTTCAGCAGAGGCCACGCCTCCAGCAAGAATCCCTTCTCTATAGCTGAGAGTCCAGACCCTCGTACGAAGCAAAGTGAAGGACAAGGGTCTGGTTTTTACCAGGCTAAGCTAAATCTGACCTGAGAGTAAATGTTTATCAAACCTTTAAAATTACATTAACATGTTAAATACGGTGGTTGTTTTATGTATTTAGCAAGGACTGACAAAAACAAATTAAATAATAAGGTAATAAGATCTAGTCAAAATCAAAACTTTATTCTCAAATTTTACTGAATTATTCTGACATAGTTTCTGCATCTAAGATTCACACTGAAAGGTGACCAAAAACAGATTTTTGCTCATTTGAARCCATATTTGATGACTTCGTCAAATCTGACCCAGGTCACTTATCTTATTATTAACTTATATTATAAAATTAATTTAGATTAATTCAGTGTTTTTCGAAGCTACTTGAGTCTGATGTTACATGGTGAGTGTGAATCCATCCAAATATTGATGAAAGTTTTCTGTTGAGTTGTGTTTCTTTCATTTCTATTTATTGCCCCCCCCCCCCCACACACACACACACACACCTGGTCCTAGTTTGTCAATCATCACACCTGCCATGAATCTGTCATTTACTCCCAGAATATAAATAAATCCATGTTGCTCAGTGCCAGATTCCTGCATTTGTTTTAGTTCTGTCTCCTGTTTAGTTTTTCCTTCATGCTTGGTCCCTGAAACGGGTTCAGTTTTGTTTTGTTCTGGGCTTCTCAGCAAGATTAATTATTTTATTGTTAAAATATTTTATTGCTGCGACTTGTTATACACAGTTTGTGCTTCAACACAGACCCTTACAGTCAAAATGGAGGCCACCAAGTTTGTTGCTTATGCAAACAAAGACAGAAAACAGTTATRTAGCTGTTTTATTACGTTAGGTATTATTGTTTATTAATTATGGGCTGAATTAAAGTGCATGTGGCATTCAAACACAAAAAGTCAAAGAAAACATCTTGATATTTAAGAAACTTGACATAAAAGACAAATTTATCCATTTTGTCYCATAACTGGCTTATTTTTTTTAAAACTTTGCTCAGCCTAAGTGAAACAGGAAGTGACATCAAAGGAGTTCACTTTAAAAGAAAGTGAACATCCTGGTCTTTGTTTAAAGGGCCAATATCATGTAAAATCAACTTTTTTGAGGTTTATATCATGTTATAATGTTATACTCTCATAAAAAACATGCCCAAAGCCTTGCTCTGACTCATTCATGCATGTTTGAGAAACCCTGCAGCGTTTTTATGAAGCCATGCTGAGGAGCAAAACGACAGGTGGAGACCAGAAACGCCCCTGAGARGTGTCTTTAAGCTGAACTTCCTCATGGTGGGGTGCCCTCCCCTCCCACCTCTCCACACGAGCTGTGTCCAAAACGACAGGCCGAGTCCTCCGGAGGACCCAGACTCTCCGGTCGAGGCAGGCCCGGGTCCTTGGTAGACCGGGGAGACCAAAAAATAAGAGGCTGTGAATTTGGACGGTCTAGCCTCCCCCTCAGCAAACGTCATGTCACCTAGCAACCAGACGAAGCTAAACAAGCAAAATTAAATCAAAATTAGAAAAATATCAATATTTTATCATTATTAATATCACAAAACTATAAAATTAACTTAAA